AATGAAACATGCAGCTTGGAAAGGAAGGAAAATGCAGGAAGCAAAGAATTATGGGAAATTTAAAAACAGATTTTACTGTAAAACTAAACAGAGAAAGAAAAGAGGTAGAGGTCAGAGGTTATTTATCCTGGAGTCGTTCAAATTCAGAAGTGCTTTAGTGTTCCCAAATGAAATTAAATGTTGATGTAAACCGAACCAGAGTACTCAAAGTCTTGTTGTCTATTCCTTATAAATATTAATAAATGCTTAAATCCTCCAGTGGAGGCATCGCTCATTAAATAATGAGCTTCGCTAACGCTAACACGTTACACCAACACATCATTTAGCAGAAGCTAATGCTAATGCGCTAACTTCAATTCAAATGATCTCTGTTCTTAAATGACTATAACCGCCAGTTGAATATATTTTAATATTGGTTTTATACGTTTCACATTTAAACATTTTTATTAATTTTCTTCTTGTTTTATTTTACTTCTGCCTTATTTGTGCTTAACAATTGCAGCAGTTGTAGGTTATTAATTAATTTATTTTTTTTTAATTTTGCATGTCTTTTCTGTCACTTGATGATTCATGTTGTCACATTCATGCCATTAAATGAAATGGTGAAGCTTATTCATAACGTTTCGTGTCAGGTAATAATCTGCATGTAGGAATAATATTTATCTCAACGTTTTGACAGCTTAAACTTTACTTTGAGGAACTAAAGCCGGTGCTTCTGAGATGACTGAACATTCTCAGCTGGTTCTGGTTTTCTCTGAGAAAATAAACCAAACAACCAGAAAGACCCAGAAATGAATAAGCTAACAGATTAAATGCCTGAAATCCCAGCAGCAGCAGTAGCTCTGTTTGTGGCGTGGTGACGAGGCTTCATGTCCCATTGCACGGCGCTCAGCCTGTCCGGCATAAAGAGGCCGGACAGGAAGTGCAGCGCAGCCTGGACCGGGCCGGCTGATTACCAGCTGATGAATGTGTGGCTGGAGGCTGCAGGAGGAACAGCAGCTGGCTGCAATCAGCATCAACCCGGCTCTGTCTGGGTGTCGGCCCACTGAAGCTAACGCTAACGCTAGCTCGGGCCGAGCAACTGCAACATGTGGGGAGAGAGAGAACATGTTGTCCTCCTGCTTCTGGTTTCTGGACAGCGTGGAGCCTTCATCACTGTATTGCAAGCTCATTTACCATATAACACCAGGGCAGAGAAGTCAGGAATATTTGTTTTAAAGGGCCAGTATCATGTGTTTTCTAGGCAAAGAGCGCCACCATATAGCATAACCAAGCCACCATGTCAACTTTCCACATTATAAAAATGCTGTATATCAAATATGACTTAAAAGAAATTTTACTTTCTAATTTAACGTTCTGAAATTGGGCTCTTTGAAAACTTCTGCTCTTTCTGAAGCTCCGCCCTTTTTTACGTTTTTACCAGCGTTGCTCTGAGCAGCAGCTCCTATAATGAGCTCAGCAGTTCCACCAGGCGTTTGCTAATTGGTGCTGGCTAGTCTGAAGGAGCTGAGTGGGGGAGGAGCTGTGCCTCGAAGGCAGAGCCAGGTCCAGCCAGCTGAATGGTTGCCTTAAAGGATTTCATAAACATGCATGGAAGAGTCAAAGCAACACTCCAGGAAGTGACATGATGGAAAGATTTAAAAAAACAGCACCACATTGTGATTTTCCTCCCACCAAACTTCACTATTTTAAACTTTGTGGGTCTTGTTCGGTGAGAGCAGATAGAGGCCAGGGTTCTTGTGTTTATTCCTGATTTTCTTCATCAAAAATCTATAATTTGAGTTTTTCCTGAGGCTCTCAGTTTAATATTTTGACTCCTCTAACAGAAGTATTGATTTTATTAAACTCTGTGAAGGTTTATAGATTGATGTTTGGTTTTTCTCATCTTGACTTGTTTCTTGTTTGATAATCCAGAAACTTTTCTGCGTTACTGAATCAGCCGATATTTGCTGCTCTCTAAATGCTGACAGGTTTCTGGTGCTTTCTTGGCTTCCTGCCTTCAGTTGCTGATTAATTTAACACTTTGACACGTCGTGTAATTTATGGATCTATTTGTTTTTCTTAGTTAATGTAAATTTAATGGTACCAGATCCTGGGTGAATTTCATGTCAAAGGTCTAATTATAATATATTTATTGAGCTGAATGTTGGAGTTTTTGGTTTGTCAGACGGTTAAATCTGGTTTTCTGACTGTCTGTTGCCATATTGTTGTTCAGTGATTACATGCAGACTCATTTGTTACAAACATCTTTAATTTTTACAGCTTTTACTGTTTCTGGGCTCAAACTGACATTCATATCCATTCCTCTCATTATTCAACATGTTTTCCTGTTCAGTCTCATCTTTATGTCTCATTTTTCTTTTCATTCCTGGTTTTTAGTCCTGTAATGTTTTTGTTTTCTTTCACTATTTTTATTTCTCTTTTATTTAATCTTTTTATATTTCTGCTACTTGTTTCAGTTTTTGTTCCATTTCCTTTTCTCATCCTCTTCATTTTCTTCTTAATGTCTCCACCTCACATTATTAGGTTTTTTTTTTCATTCTGCCTGTTTTCTTTTTTCCTTCATTTTCCCCCTTTTATCCATTTCTTTCCTTTTTATTTTTGATAATCTTTCATCTTTTCTCCCTTGTTCTCTGGCTTCCTTCCATTCGCTGCTGACTTTCCTAAAGATGTAATAAATAAAGAAGGAAATCAATCAGAAATTTAAAACTGAGACTCTAATATAGATCTATTTCACTGAATGTGATATAATTTGGCCATTTATCTTGCTAGTTTTGATAATTCTGGTTTACAGGTAATAAAAACCTAATAAATATTCTGAACTTCAGACCAAATATTCCTGATGTTTCCTGGTTTAGATCAAAAACTGTGAATTTAAACCAGGATTGATGGAAAATTATGTTGATGTTGGTTATCATGCTAATGTTAGCATCAGTAAGCTAACATTCTGAAACATACATTTTACTGTATTTCAGTTTTAGGTAACCTTAGCATGCTGACGCTAACTTTAGCATGCTGACGCTAACTTTAGCATGCTAACCAGGTTCATTAGTTCTTATTTTGATCATTTATATTTCATATTTAGTCTGTTGTATAATTATTTTTATTGACATTGATGGATTTTGAATGTGCAGCAGAGAGGAAGCAGCAATGTTTCTATCTTCAGCTTATTGCCTTTTAGCTTTAGCTTGTTGCTATCTGGTCATTAAATATTAACCAACTTCATTTTTTTTTTTTCTATTCTGCTAGAATTAATCAAAGGTAATATAAAAAAATTAAAATTGTCTGGAAACCTGCTGTTGTTTTAAATAAATCAGATACGTATAACTTTTACTTATATACAGTTTAATTTAATTTATTTGGTAGAGACATTGCACATAAGTTGGCATTTCTGAAATTGCATAATAATTATCCAAAATGTTGTTTTTCATCTGTTATATCTGGACAATACTTTGTCTTGCTAGAAACAAACAAAATGACTTAACTACACAAATTTTGTCAATAAATACCAAATAATGGAATAAAGCTGCAATCCTTTATCCAATAAGTTTTTCTCTCCACCACTACATAAAATAACCAGCAAACACTGATTATTTTCCCATTTATCATGTCTTTAAGAATTTATAAAATTTTACAGCTGCTAAAAATACTAAATTATTATGCATGAAAATGTCCCCAAAAAAAATCCCTCAGTGAGACTTAAAACAATTTTTTCTTGTTTTCAGCACAAAACCTCATTAATCTTCCCTTTCAACTGGAAACACTTCGCTCCCATCTGGGGGCTCGGCTGTAAAAAAGCCAAAATGCCACGAACCGCTTCCTCTCTGCAGGGACAAGTGTGTCTCTCTCTGTGTGTGTGTGTGTGTGTGTGTGTGTGTGTGTGTCTGTTTGTGTGTGTGTATGTGTGTGTGTGTGTCTTGGCACCAGCAGCCCTCTAATGGGCAGTGAAGGGCCGAGGAGGGATGGAGGTGTGCAGGCAGCCAGGTTGCCAGAGCGCAGGTTAAGCCACTAATTGGGAGCAAAGGGAGCCGGGTTGCCAGATTGTGATGGTCACCAGGAGGGGCCATTTAAGGGGGACATCTGTTCCTGCTGGAGCACGGCCGCCCTTGTGGCCGCCGTCATGGCCGCCCTGCGCCCAGATCTGCCTTCGGTCTGGAAACACTTCAGAGTTTGTTTTGGCTCCTTGAGGACGTCGAGATTCAACTCTGCAGTTCTAAACTTCGTTTCAGGTTCTGCTCAGAGCTGTTTGCTTCAGATCAGAGAGCGGATCCAGAGACGAGTCTGTAAAATAATACGGAGTCCAAACTTGAGATTAACAGAGATTTTTCCTGACTGTTGTTCAGCAGCATTAAAAAGCACCAACAGACTCTGGAATATTTAAAATAAACTTTAACACACATTTAATGGAGTAGAACATTCATCCAGATTATTAAGAATATTAAATGATGTCAACAGAACCGACTTCAATAGTCTGGAAAAATATTAGCTTTTAGAAAATCCCAGAAGTAGAAAATCATTGTAAAACTAAATTTATGACAAGAAAATATTCAGTTTTAAATCTTAAAACTGTTTCTCTAATAATAACTTCTAAATAAGAGAATCAATATAAACGGCTACTTACAGAATAAAGATAGCAACTTTATTTAAAATGAAACTTTAAAAAGCAGAAAAGCAAAACGAGTGGGAAAATCGTATTTGGGAAAGCTAAATACGCTAAACGTTTTTTCACAGTTAGCTGAAGTCCTAAAGTAAGAATTAGCTCTGCTATTGGCGCATTAGCCGATTAGCAGAAGACACAGTTACCGTTTTTGTTTTTTCTTTTTGTGAAAAACTGTCAAACTCTGAAGTCTTTACTGTGATAAACTAAACTAAAACCAGATCGATCAGTGGAATATTGATCGATAATCAGAGGGCGTTGTGAAGCATATTGGAGCCTGACTGTCTTCGTCCTGTGTGTGTGTGTGTGTGTGTGTGTGTGTGTGTGTGTGTGTGTGTCTCAGGGTACGCCATTCTGCAGGCCATCATGGAGAAAGCCGGACTGGATGACTGGCAGGTCAGCGCCATCTGTGTGGAAAACTTCAATGACGCCAACTACCGCCGCCTGCTGGAGGACCTGGAGCGCCGCGAGGAGAAGAAGTTCGTCATCGACCTGGAGGCCGAGAGGCTGCAGAACATGCTGGAGCAGGTGATCAATCAATCAATAAATCATAAAGCATGTTTCAGCAACACGGCAGTTTGTGAAAACAAAGCATCATAAACGCATCATACAGTCAGCAGCTGGGAAAACTAATAACAGATTTGACGTGTTGTTGAGTTCTATCGTTAAAGTGATTGATACAGATCAAATATCATGATCAATGTTTCAATTATTGTTCAAAGGAATCTAAACATATGGAGGTTTCAGCCTGGATTTAAAGCTGCAGGATGGAACTTTCATTAAAAATATTTTTGTGAAACTGTCCCCATGTTGTGACAGTTTGTAATAAGAGATAATCTGTGAAAAAGTCGACCTCTGCCTTCTCTGAGCTGCGAAGACTCTGCTGCAGCAATTAATGTGACTAAAGATAAACGCATGCATGAGTTTCTCACTCGTTCTAAACCTGAGATGCTCTTCAGGTGGTGGAAGGCCTACTTTGTAACCGTCTCTATGTGACTCTGAAGGTTCAGAGTTCAGCTGGTTTTTACCTTCTGGCTGCAGCTCTCAGGTTGCAGCGTTGCCTTCAGCTCTGCAGGGATTTAATGCGTCGTCATGCCAACATCTTCAAAGAGTGTTTCCCTCCCAGTCAGGCGGTACTGGGAGGACGCTGTACCTGCTAATTAGACCAGTTTGAACCTGGGAAACGTCTGTTTTCATCTCCAGTGATGGTCGCTGGCAGCAGCTCACTCAGAATCCGCTCCTCCCTCCACTTCCTCCTGCTCCTCTTCATCATTTCCGCCTCCATCTCTCTGCTGACTGCTTCTGCTGCCGACTCTCAGCCTAATCTGAAGTTTATTTATTTACATTTTTACCAATTATGTTAAAACTAGAGCTGTAACGTTTTTCTGTTTATTTGTGCTGCTGAACTCTCTCACTTCCATCAGTGAGTTGTTGATTAATGCTAAATGCTATTAGCATAAAAAACTTTTCATCCAAGGGATTTTATTTATTGATAAAAACGTCCCGGTTCTGTAGAAACATAAAAGCTATGAATGGCTGTTGAAAATGAGGCTCCTTTTTTTTATTGACTGAAGATGAAAACATGAATTAAAAACTGGAATAAACATTTTTTTTTCCATTCTGCTGCTTTTTATTTTTATTACCTTGAATAAAATTTCAGATTTTTTTTTCATTCATAATTTTCTTTAGCTTTGAACTGAACCAGTTCTGTTTAAAACCCTGGAAGGATTTTATTAAAGACTTTTTTTGTTTTCAGTTCAGGTCTGTGAAATGTTTCATGCAGTGAAAGAAATATTTCATTGGTTGAGGAAAATAATCTACTGCGTTAATAATTCCTGTAGCTTTCTTCTAAAGCACATCATCAGTTTTTATGTTTGATTTATTAGAGATTTCATGTTGCCCAAAAGCAACTTTTCAATAAAATGCTGCTTCCTAGATGTAAATAATGAGTTAAATTATCTTTTAGCAGAAGGAACCAATAACCAATATTAGCACATGTTTTCCCGCTTCAGTTTTCATCAGCTTTAAAACGCAGCCTGGATGCAGATGAGGGAGGTGAAAGGTTGACGGTTCAGTTTCCGAGGCAGAGCTCCTAATCCGGTTAATGACGAAGCTGCTGAGTCACTGCGGGATGCGGGTCAGCTTCCGGCGCCTCGTTAGCGTGGAGTCAGAGGTTCAGAGAGCAGTCAACAGGAAACGCATCACCACTGCAGTCCGGCTGAAGATCAGGACTGGAAACCAGACAGATAAAGTCTGTTTAATCAGACAGAAACCTTCCTTTGAGCTCCATCTGACACCAGTTCAGTTTAATCTGCTTTTACCCAACTCCAATCCGCTTTAACCCAACTCCAGTCCGCTCTAACCCAACTCCAGTCCGCTCTAACCCAACTCCAGTCCGCTCTAACCCAACTCCAGTCCGCTCTAACCCAACTCCAGTCCGCTCTAACCCAACTCCAGTCCGCTCTAACCCAACTCCAGTCCGCTTGTCTATAAAGTCCGGTTCGTTTTTTTGGAGTGTGAATACTAATCAAGTTCTGGTCCTCCAAACCTCGATCTGGGTGCGGTTGAAGTGAACTCTGGTTCGGTTTGAACACCAATTGCAAACGGAGATCGTTGCAAAAGCAGGAAATGGACTACAGGTTAGGGCATTCTGGGTAAATACAACCAAAACAAGCATGTTAGCCTAGCGCTAGCGAGAGAAATGGCTCGTAGTCTTTAGCCAAAGACTAAAGAGAAATCTCAGTCGACCTCTGTGGGGCACCGTTTGTAAAGGAGCAAAGTGAAACATTAACAGCAATAATCTGGGTTATTTGGCCTTCTATAAGAGAAAAAAATCTCTTGTAATCCTTTTTATTTTCGTTTCTTTTTCTCTTTTCTTGTTCAGCATTTCAGTTTAAAACAAAGGAAGAGCCTTTCCAGAGGTTTACCAATAGATCCACAGTGATGCCTGATGATGAGATCCACAGATCTCAGCCATTAAACGTGTTTTCCTCCCAGATTGTGATGTTCTGTAATCCTGTTAGATTAACTCGGCTTTGTCTTCCTCAGATTGTGAGTGTTGGGAAACATGTGAAGGGTTACCACTACATCATGGCCAACCTGGTGAGTCGGTCGCCTCCATCTTGGTTTTCCTCTCCAGGTAGTGTGACGGCGTGGAGTCGTCTGTAAACGCCACTGCTCTCGTCCTCTGCAGGGATTTAAGGATATCAACCTAGAGCGCTTCATGCATGGGGGCGCCAACGTCACCGGCTTCCAGCTGGTCAACTTCAGCAACCCCATGGTCATCAAGCTGATGCAGCGCTGGAACAAGCTGGACCAGAGGGAGTACCCGGGCTCCGACGCCCCACCCAAGGTACCAGAACCAGAACCACAACTAGAACTAGAATTAAAACCAGAACCAGGACTAGAACCAGAACCAATGACAGAGACCCTAAAACAGCTCAGAATAGGGAGAACTGAGTTTAAATCTCATTATTTAAGAATGATTTATTGCAGAGAATGTAATGAACTTGCCTTGACTAGGCCATAGACTTATCCTGACCTGCTCTAGGAAGCATTATAGGTCAGGTTTAAAGCTGAAATGTTTTAATTTCACTTTGAAGCTGAACTCTGATGTTTGTAAAATGGGGATGACTCAGCCGGTCGGAGATCTGAGGAGCGAAGTCAGAGAGGAAGAGCCGTCTGCGTGTCATCCTCCGCTGCTGCATGCAGCGATGTGACAGTCTGACCCACTTCCTGTTCAGCCGCGCACGGTTCAGGCACTGGGGCATCACGCCACGGCGGCCAGCAAACCTCCGCCCTGCAGCTCATCTCTGTGTCCAGCACAGATCTCTGCTTTAGACGCAGGAGCAGCAGAGAGGAGCCGAGTGCGTGCGTGCGTGCGTGTGTGTGTGTGATGTATTGGGCTGGGTGAAATTAAAAGTTTACACCAGTGTGATATCATCCACAGCGATGTGTGTGTGTGCGTGTGTTGATGAATTGCTCTCTCTCCTGGAAATCCACTCAGCCTAAATGAGTGGACTCCCCACTGAGACTCTGCGGTTAGACTGACACTAAGCTAACAAACAAACGCCAAGGCGACCACTGCCTCCGCCATCTTTACTCACTCAGATACATAAAAACAGCAACACTTCGGTCAAGCTCTTCTTATCGGCAGATAGAGACCTGATGAGATTAAATTTATTATTATTATTAAAATCCTAGAAATTTTAGAAGCATTTATGTCTCTGGATCTGAAGTAGGATTCCCACTCAGGCTGGAGTTTTCCTTCCGTCTAGCCATCAATTATAAAACCATTGGGCCCCAGAGCCCCTTTGGCCTCCTATGGGAGGTCAAAGGGGACAAAAAACATGCATGTATTCATTCATTACCTTTTGTCCTTTTGTCTTTTGTATTTCTCGCTTACCGTAAGTCCTGAAGGCACGTTTTTTCTCATCCAATACTTTTTTTTTTCACTTAATTGAATGGAATATTTTTCCTCACTTACTGTGTAGGCCCAATGACAAACAATAAATAAATAAATTAATAATAATAATAATTAATAATTGTACTCTGTTGTTTTTTTTTTTTGTTTTTGCTGATAAATGAGAAAAATGTATTTTTATTGCCCTTAAATATTTGGTAGAAAAACACAAATTGCTCAAATTTTGCACATTATTACTTTTTTATGCTCAGCTTCAGAAAAAAATGTTCCACAAGAAAAAAAAGGGAAGCTTAAAATATTTTAATATAATTCTTTTTTACTTGCACATGATTACATTTTTAAGACTTTTTGGGTCTTCAAAAGAAAAATAAAACATTTCAGACTAACGTATATAATCAGTCGGTGACCCATCTGTTGTTGAATTTCTTTGAATCACGGCTCAACGTGCTGCTTGTTGAGATGATTACCTGCTTCGTGTTGTCAGACAGGTTCCTCATCATGGCTGAGTTCATGATTTACGTTTCACTGGTTTTCCTTCATCATCGTTTTAAAACGGTTTTTTATTTTTACTCTGATTTTATCTGATTTTAAAATCATCTCTTCTCTAAGCATCTCTGTGGTGTGCTCCAAACAAACCGAAGCATTGCGCAGGTGTCTGGTTCACAGGGAGGTTTGTGTTGCTGAAGGTGTGATGGAAGCAGGTGCCAGGCTGTGATTGGTCGGGCAGCGGCAGGGGGCGGGGCTTAGCGCGCTTTGGAAGCCATAATGTTTCAGTGAGCAGCAGGCTAATGAATGGGGTTCAGCCCCGGCTGCAGGCAGAGTTAATAAACTCCCGCCAGCCGGGGTAATTAATGCCAGGCTGCTTCCCGGCTGGACAAAACGCTTCCCGTTACCCCCCCACAATCCCTCTATTAAACCCCTCCTCTCTATTACTCCTCAACCCCCAAAGCCAGGCTGCCGGTTCGTCTTTCACTCAATTACCTCTCTGCCCTGCCAGAGGTTAGTTTCAGGAGAATTTATGGCGCTTTAAGGGGAGCAACATTTTTACAGAGCAAATAATCAGAGGCAGCGGAGCGTCTTCAGGTCACAGATAAATGAGGGTAAATTGGTGAGTTTACCCCGGGGGCGGGGGCTCTGCTCTCGTCTTCCTCTCTGTTTCCAGGAAATAATGACTGGAGTCTCCTGCTCCCGTTACGTTGAAGAAACTCTGCACGTCCTCTGAAAACACCTGAACAGCAGAACATTAAACCTGTTGGGCTAAATCAGAGTTTAATTGGGCTCATTCCTCAGACCGGGTCGGGTCTCCTCCCGACTGCACTTACAAGGACTTTCATTTCATTCTGCCTGCTGAGTTTTAAATCGTTTTTAAAGTGTTTTAGCACCCGACAGTCAGTAGACTCGCTTTGACTTGCTCCATCTCCAGCTGCTGTGGTTCTCTTTCTCTCTGCTATGAGTCAAACCAACCAAACAACTTGTTCCCCTCCTCGCCTGTGGGGGCGCTGCACCAAGAACCACTGAAGAAGACGCAGAGTCCTTCCTTCTTCCCCAAATGGAAACAGAAATGGAGGTGTCAGATTTTAGCGGTTGTATTCGATCTGGGTTCGGTTGAAGTTAACTCTGGCTCCAAAAGCAGGAAGTGAACTGCAGCGCATGGCATTCTGGGTAAATACTACCAAAACAAACTTGCTAGCATATTGATAACAGGAGAAATTACTCGCCTTTTGCTAAAGATAAATCCTTCAACCGCTAAAGTCTGACGCCTCCATTTTGTTTTCATTTGTGAAGAAGGAATTTGCTCTCTGTGTCTTCAGAGGTTTTTCATGTCGTTTCCTTCAGTGGTTCTTGGTGCAGCGCCCCCACAGGCCAGGAGGGGAACAGGTTGCTCAACGGGTTTTGTTGGTTTGACTGAGAGCAGAGAGAAATGAACCACAGCAGCTGGAGATGGAGCAGATGATGAAGTTCTGGTTCCAGTAGAACCGGGTTTACTGGACCATCAGGAGGAAAATATCCTTAAACTCCAGACAGCCGGTCAGAAACAGACCTGGTTATCTGTTAACCCCTGCTTGTGTCTTGCAGTACACCTCTGCACTGACGTATGACGGCGTGATGGTGATGGCCGAGGCCTTCAGGACGCTGCGCAGTCGAAAGGTGGACCTGTCCCGACGGGGGAACGCCGGGGACTGCCTGGCGAACCCCGCCGCCCCCTGGAACCAGGGCAAAGAAATGGAGCGCACCCTGAAACAGGCGAGAGCAACACACCAGTGGACCCGGAGTTCATTTAGTCACCACCATGAACTGCTCCCATTTGGTCGCCTTCTAACCATAAAACTTCTGTTTTAATTGGATTTAATGTGACAAGCGGCACATAAATGTAAAGTGGAAGGAAAATAAAACATGACTCTCAACATTTTTCACAGAAAAACATCTGATGAAAAGTGATACCTGGTTTGAAAATGTACCTTTTGGTTGACATGCCTGGACACATTGTTCAAACGGCGATGCAAAGAGATAAACTACAACTGAATAAATTAATCGTAATCTAAAAAAATTTGTTTATTTCAGGAAATCAGTGGATTGGATTATGATGGAGACGGATTCATTCTTTGTCTTTATTTCTGTTTAGCTGCATGATGGCTGACATGATGATCTAGATTCACTGAAGATGTAAACAATACAAAACTGTAACATAAAGTCACAGATTTGGACAGAAATCGAC